AAGATGGCTCTCAGAAGGCCTCCTGGGGCCACTATCGCTTACTGTAGGCCCACTCTGGGCGCCAAAGGGCCCTGCGGACCATTTGTCCAAGAACAAGTGCTTGCAGACCCCTTTGGGGGCCACCTTGACATTGCATGGTGGCGTTTTCGCGTCGTGGCGGCCCCGGTGGGATGCGTGCGCGGCTGACAGCTGGGCCGTTTGAGCCCGCGAGGCTCTGGAAAGCGAAGGCTCCAAAGTGACGGCGAGGTGCCTGGAGGAGAGCGTGGATTCGTCGGGGCGCCCGAGCGGCGCGAATGGCCAAGATGGCTGAAGATGGCGTTCAGAGCGGTGAGAACGGCCAACGCGGCCCAAGATGTCGGGGGTCCGAGCGGCGCGAATGGCCAAGACGGCCCAAGGTGGCTCTGAGAGGGCCTCCGAGGGCCACTATCGCATACTGTAGGCTCGCTCTGGGCGCCAAAGGGCCCCGCGGATCATTTTTCCAAGAACAAGTGCTCGCAGACCCCTTTGGGGGCCGCTTGACATGGCATGGTGGCGTTTTCGCGTCGTGGCGGCGCCGGCGGGCTGCGAGCGAGGCTGCTGGCCCAGTGACGACGACGGCGACGACGACGACGACGACCCCACGGACCGAAATCCACTAGACGAGGCTTTGCGAACCATTGTGTTCTCCAATGTCTTCTGCGTTGTCGCTTTTTGAGAGGCTTCCCCGCGCGCCCCTGGAAATGCGGGAAACCCAACGTATCTGGAGTTGTCGTTGAAGGCCCCCTGCTGGGAGGACCGCTTCGGCAGAGCGTCCGGATTCCGCCGAGGTCGGCATATGCAATTTTACGTTGGTTTCGGGGCGATTTGCAAGGACACACGGGGAGAAGGATCGGGTTTTCATACATGCCCGCCAGGGTCCCCGCGGGAGTGTCCTGGCTAAGATACGCGATGATGGTGAAGATGACGATTGCGAAAACGAAGATGACGAAGATGATGACGATGATGATGATGGTGATGATGACGATGGCGGTGACGAGGATGAGGGTGGTGGGCGTGCAGAGGCCGAGCATAACATATAAAATGCTGGAACCTCGGAGGTCGACGATGCCAACACTGACGACGTAACGACAACGACGACGACGGAGGTGGCGGCAGTGGTGGCGGTGGCGGCGGCGACGACGCGGCAGCGGCAGGGGGAGCGGCGGCGGCGGCCGCGGAGGTGATGGCGGCGACGGCGGTGACGCGCCTCCGCATCCGAGCTGTCGAAGCGCTCGAGCAGCTCGGCCTCTCGGGGGTCATCAAATTCGGGCCTCTTGGGAGCTGTCTGGGGGCCTCTCGGGGATCATTGTTGGCCTCCTGGGGGACTCTTGGGGCCCTCTTTGCGCGTCTTGGGCCCATCTTGGGGCGTCCCGGGGCCCTCTGGGGCCGTCTTGGGCTGTCTTGGGGCGTCTGGGGACCGTCTGGACGCCCTCTTGGCCAGTCTTGAAGCCCTCTTGCGGGCCTCGTCTGTAGTCTTGGAGCGGTCTTGGGGACCTCTTGGGCCGTCTTGGAGCGCAGGGACGGCGAAAAAGGGATAATGCGAAAAACATCGAAAACACACAATGGAAATCGACGATTTCTCCCGCTCGGGGCCCTGCTGGGAAGCCTCTTGGGAGGCCTTTTGGGCCATTTTGGCCGCCTCTGGGGCCGTCTTGGCCCAATCTTCGGCCGGAGCCCTCTGGGGCCGTCTTGGGGGCCTCTTGGGGCCCTCTTGGCGCGTCTTGGGCCTATCTTGGGGCGTCCCGGGGCCCTCTGGGGCCGTCTTGGGGGGCCGTCTTGGGGCGTCTTGGGACCGTCTGGACGCCCTCTTGGCCCGTCTTGAGGCCCTCTTGCGGGCCTCGTCGGTGGTCTTGGAGCGGTCTTGGGGACCTCTTGGCGTGTCTTGGGCCTGCTACGCCATTTGACCAGAATCGCCCTTCTCGCACGCGCGGGGCCCTGCATTGTAGTATAGACTAGGGTTCACCCGTGGACCCCGTCCACGGTAAGCTGCCACGAAGTGGCAAGTGATTTGCGCTCACTTCCCACATCGCCCCGTAATGGCGGGCGGGCGGGAGACGTTCCCTCGCGTCGTGAAAGAATCGGGGCGGAACATGAGGAGGCCTCCCACACGTATCGGCGATGCAGCGGCAACGTCGGCGGTGCGTCGCCGAGGCCTGCGTGAGAAACTCGGGCTCCGAATCGAGCCGCATCGACGATGCATCGGCGATGCGGCCCAATCCTCCGACCCCATCCACCCTGACCTCATCTTGGAGGCCCGAGAACATGTTTGGTAATGTTCAGCCCCTGGAGGCCCTCGCAAGGCCTCCAGACACTGTGAAAAGCAGCCCGGGAGGAGAGAACGGTCCGCGGGAAGGGGTCCAGCGGCGTCTTGTGGGCGTTTAGGGGCTACGGGGGGTTCTGTTCGGTCGTCTTGGGTGTCTCTGGGCTGTGTTGGGGCCTTCGGAGGCCGGCGTAGGCGCCTCTTGGGCCTGGCTGGGGCCGTCATGGGTGCCTCTCGGGCCGTCTTGGGCGCCTCCTGGACCGTCGCGGGGCCGTCCTGGACCGTCGTGGGACCGTATCGGGGCATTCTTGGAACGTCTTGGGGTTCTCTTGGAGGCCTCGTGAACCGTGTTGGAACGGCCTCGCAGGGTCCTGGAGCCGTGTTGGGCCGTTCGAGGGATCCGATGGCAAGAGACCGGGAGTCCTTCAAGCAGCAAGGGGGAATCCATGCTTTGGCCGTCTCGGGCCTCGACCGGGAGTCTCCTGGGCCTTCTTGGGAGGCTTCTCGCCTGTCGTCGGGCACTCTTAGGCTGCCCTCGGGCTCGCTGGGGGTCCGCTCGGGCCGTCGGGGCGCTCTCTCTGAGCCGTCTTGGGGCCGTCTGGGGCCATCGAGCCTCTGTGGGGAGGCCGTCCGAGCGCTCTGGTGACACTTATCTGGTTGCCTCGTCGACGCCTGGTGGCAGGCGCTGTGCTCTCCTTGGGACCTGTTTGGGGGCCTCTCGGGGTTTCGCTTCGGCCTCCTGGGGCCCTCTTCGGGCCCTCTTGGGCCGTCCAGCGGCCTTCTGCGGTCCTCTTGGGGTCGTCTTGGGCCGTCGTGGATGCCTCTTGGCTGCCTCTAGGGGCCGTCTTGGGCGCCTGTGGGGCCGTCTGGGGACCGTCTGGAGGCCCTCTTGGGCCATCTGTGGCCGCTCTTGGGGCTGTCTTGACTGCATCTTGGGCTCATATGAGCGTCACAAGAGCCGTCCGGGGGCCGTCTTGTAAGCATCATGGGGGCCTCCTGAGACGTCTTGGGCCGATCTTGGGGGACCGTATTGTCGTCGTGGACGCTTTGGAAACGAAAAGCATCGGAGTTGCGAAAATGTACAGGGGCGATTTTTGCTTGTGCGAGCTCTCTCGGACGTCTTCTTGGAGCTTACTTGGAGCGTTTTGGGATGCCACTTGGGCCGTCTGGAGGCAATTTTGAGCGTCTTCGAGCGCTCGTGGACTGTCTCGCAAGCCCCCTTGGACCATCTCGGGGCCGTTCGGGGCCCTCGAACCTGGGCCGTCGCGGAGTGCCCCGGGGCCACCCGAGAGCGCGCTGGGGCCCGCCGGAGGGCTTGATCCGCTTTCCTTCCGGCACGGCTCGTGCTTGGAAGCTGTGGCTTTCAGAGTTTTTGACGTTGCGGCTCGCTCTCGGGAGCCTCGGGTTGAAGAGCTCGTCGTGTCACCGTTCGCTCTTGGGAGCCTTGAATTGAAGAGCTTTTTACTGTACCGATCGCTCTTGTATTCGACGTCTGTGCGCCTTCTCAATGGACCTTGTGGGGGACTTTGTAAAGCCCTTCAGGGGCCCTTTTGGGCCGTTCTGGGGCCGTCACGGGGCGTTTTGGAGGCCTTGGACCGTCTTGGGGCTCTCTGGAGGGCTTCCTGGGGCCCTCTTGGGAGCCTCGTCGGGCCCTCTTGGAGCCCTCTTGGAACTGTCTCGGGGCCCTCTCAGGCCGTTTGAGGGCCCCCTTGGGCCGTCTTTGGGCCCTCTTGGGCTTTTTTGGGGGCGGCTTGGGTCGTCTTGGGGGGTTGGGGGGGCCTCTTGGTCTGTCCTGGACCGTGTAGCAATGAAAAATGCGGATATGCTGAAAATGCACGTTTTCCCAAAGGAATGTGAAGATGTGTGCCTCTTTGTAGTCCTTTCGGGGCCCTCTCGGAGCGTCTCTGGGGCCTCTTGGACCGTCTTGGAGCCACCTTCTGAGGTCATTGGGGCGTCGTGGAGGCCTTCAACCGTCTTGGGGCTCTCTGGAGGGCTTTCTTGGAAGGGCCTGAAGACCTCAAGAGGGCCTCTCAAGAGCGCCTCCAGGGCGCCCCAAGAGGGCCCCAAACCGCATACACTTGATAGGGGCACCGAAGTACATGCGTCATGCTGGGGCCTTGTCAGGGCCCTCTTGGGGCCCTGCTGGCTCCCTCTTGGGGCCCCTCGGGAGCGCTCCCACCCTGTCCTGCCTCCTCTTGGGGCCGCCATGGGCGCCTGAGGAGCTGTCCTGGCGCAGTGTTGAATCGTCTTGGGGCCCTCCTGGCAGCCTCCTGAAACGTTTTGATCTTGAGGGCCTGTGCGACCGTCTTGGGCGCTTCGACGACAAAAAACACGGGAACTCCCGAAATGCATGCACGTTTTCCTTCGGGACTGGGCAATTTTTTCTTGCTCAAACAGGAGAACTCCCGAAATGTGCGTTTTCCCCAGGGATTGGGCAATTTTTCCTTGTTCGGGCTCTCCCGGGGCTCACTCTGGAGCCCACTTGTAACATTTGGGGGGCCTCTTGTGCCGTCGGGCGGCTGTCTTGGGCTCGAAGACTGGACCGTCTTCGGCCGTCTTCGGGCCCTCTTGGGGGCCTGCAGGGGCGGCTCGGAGCGCTCTGAAGCCACCTTGGAAAGCGCGCCAGGGCCTCGGGGCCGCGTCGGTGGTGGCCGCCTGAGGGGGCCGGTCCGCCGCCACTGCTCGCCAGTTTTGGCGAACGGTGAACGCTGCATTGTAGTAGAGATGGCGCTGGGCTCCAGCTTCGCCTCCCACATCTCGCTCAGCAGCGCCAGGGCCCGCTGCCACTGCTCGCCCTTCGTGCACGCGCTGATCCCAGCATTGTAGCTGACTGGGGCTGACCCGTAACCCCCGTCCACGAAATCTTTCTGGAATGGTTCTTGGAGGAATGGCGGAGATTTTGCAGAAACCCTATAAGCGCGACGGCGGTCGTGGCGGCGGTAGCGAGAACGCCTTCGTGTCCGAGCTATTGCAGCGCTCCAGCACCTTAGAAAAAAAGCTAACAAGAAGGGGAGGTCTTTGACAGAGTTGGGCAGGCGCCCCCCCCCAGGACTCCATGGAAACATTTTTGCAAGCCCTGATAGGACCCAGGGGTGACTTCGAAAGAGCTTCTTTGCGCTTGAAGAATTACAACCGGCAGCTTGCCAGCGGTCTAGGCCTCTGAAACCCGTGCCCCGGCGGGACCGTCCTCGGGCCCTCTTGGGGGCCTCCGGGGGCGACTCGGAGCGCTCTGAAGCCATCTTGGAAGCGCGCCAGGGCCCCTCGGGAGCGCTCCCCCCCTGTCCTGGCCCCCGCGAGGAGCCGCCATGGGCGCCTGAGGAGCCGTCCTGGCGCAGTGTTGAGCCGTCTTGGGGCCCTCCTGGCAGCCTCCTGAGGCGTCTCGGGGCGATCTTGAGGACCTGTGTGGCCGTCTTGGCCGCTTCAAACACGAAAAACACGGGAACTCCCGAAAGGTACGTTTTCCCTCGGATTGGGACGATTTGTCCTTGTTCAAGCTCTCCTGGGGCTCACTCTGGAGCTCGGTTGGAGCATTTTGCAGGTCTCTGGGGCCGTCGGGCAACCATCATGGGCGTCTTCGAGCGCTCGAAGCCCGTCTCGGAGGCCCTCGTGGACCGTCTTCGGCCGTCCTCGGGCCCTCTTGGGGTTCCCGGGGCCGCGCCGATGGCCGTCGAGGGGGCTGGTCCACGGCCCGGGGCCGCGCCGGTGACCGCCGGAGGGGGCCGGTCCAAGGCCACTGCTCGACCCATTTGGCGAGCGGTGAACACTGCACTATACTAGAGATGACGTCGGGCTCCAGCTTCGCCTCCCGCATCTCGCTCAGTAGCGCCAGGGCCCGCTGCCACTGCTCGCTCTTCTCGCACGCGCTGATCCCAGCGCTGTAGCTGACTAGTGTTAACCCGTGGATGAAATCCACGGTGTGCTGAACCTGGGGCTCGCACACCGTGGGTGAACAGTTGAAGTCGAACAGTTCGGGCGTTCCTGGGGCAGTGTCGGGACCGTTTTGGGGGCCGTCGTGCCAGAGGGCACGAAGGAAGGTCCCCAGAGGGCCCCAAGAGGGCTCCAGAGAGCCCCAGGGCGCCGCCGGGCGCGGGCCCGACATTCTGCCAAGAGAGGCCTCTCTGCGGCAGAATGCGCCCAGCCCTGTCTTGGAGGGGCCCGAAGGCCCCAAGAGGGCCGCAAGAGCTCCCCCCGGGGGCCCCGAGAGGGCCCCAAACCGCATGTACTTGAGATGTTTCGTGGGCTTGCGAGAGGGGCACCCAAGTTACATGCGTCATGGGGCCTTGTCGGGGCCCTCTTGGGCCCCTCGGGAGCGCTCCCACCCTGTCCTGGCCCCCTCTTGGGGCCGCCATGGGCGCCTGAGGAACCGTCCTGGCGCAGTCTTGAGCTGTTTTTGGGCCCTGCTGGCAACCTCATGAGGCGTCTCGGGGCGATCTTGCCGCTTCAAACACGAAAAGCACGGGAACTTTTGAAATGTTCGTTTTCCCTCGGATTGGGACGATTTGTCCTTGTTCGGGCTCTCCTGGGGATTGCTGGAGCCCATTTGGAGCAGTTTGGTGGCCTCTTGGGCCGTCGTGCGGCTGTCTTGGGCGTCTTCGAGCGGTCGGGGCCTGTCTCGGAGGCCCTCTTGGACGGTCTTCGGCCGTCTTCGGGCCCTCTTGGGGGCCTCAGGGGGCTCCGAGCGCCTGCCCGCAGCGGGCCGAGCCAGGCCGAGGCGGGCTGGTGCCACCGGGCTCTTTTTTTGCACGCGCTGATTCGGGTACTGTAGTATAGATGACGGTGGGCTTCAGCTTCTTCTTCCACATCTCGCTCAGCAGCGCCAGGGCCCGCTGCCACTGCTCGCTCTTCTCGCACGCACTGATCCCCGCATTATAGCTGACGACGTTGGGCTCCAGCTTCGCCTCCCACATCTCGCTCAGCAGCGACAGGGCCGGGTGCCACTGCTCGCCCTTCTCGCACGCACTGGTCCCAGCGCTGTAGCTGATGACGTTCGGCTCCAGCTGCACCTCCCGCATCTCGCTCAGCAGCGCCAGGGCCCGCTGCCACTGCTCGCCCTTCGCGCACGCGCTGATCCCCGCATTATAGCTGACTAGTGTGAACCCGTGGAAAATCCACGGCCCGCAGGTCCAGGCGTTGGTCCCGAACTCGCACGTGTCGCCGAAGCCTCAAGTGACCCCCAGCAGGGCCCAGCACAGCCGCAGATGCCGCCCACGGGAGCCCAACGCGAGGTCCGAGACGGCCTCACACCCCCAAGATTGCCCCAAGCCGCCCCACGAGGCGCCCGACCCAAGAGGGCTATCGTAACCGATTAAGGCCGGGCGTGGAGGTCTCAAAAAGCATCGGGTTTTCGCTAATCGCGCCCAGCCTCTCCGCGATTAGCGAAAATCCAAAGGTTCTGGCCATTCCACTGCGCGAGGATTGGCCCCCACACGTACCCCAAGGCCTTGGACACCGCCCAAGACGATCTGAGTTTCCAGAGGTTTCGGCCCCCCAGGGCCCTGCATCGATACAGCCAAGGGTGCGGGTGCTGGGATACGTAGGGCCCCCCAACCGGCTGTAGTGGCCTGCGGGCAATCTCACCGCGGGCCTGGGTAATGGGCAAGAGATCTCGTGGATGTTGGTTGGGATCTCGTGGTTGGCCTCTCGGGAGCCTCTGGGAGACAGTTTGGGGGCTTCTTGGTAGCAGTTTGGGGGCGTCTTGGGGCCTCTTGGGTCATCTTTTGGGGCCTCTTGGGAGCCTTTTGGGGCGCTTGGCGGCCTCTGGGGGGCCTCTTGGAGCCTCTTTGGGGCGTCCGGGGGCCTCCTGGGGAAGTCTTGGGAGCGTCCCGGCGTTTCGTTGGGGCGTCTTGGGGCTTCCTGGGGGCCTCTTGGGGTGGAGGCCTCGATTTTTCGGTTCCGGGTCCCTGTCTTGGGCCTCTCTTGGGGCCTTCTTGGGGCCCTCTTGGGCCGTCTTGGGCGACTCTTGAGCCGTCTTGGGGCCCTCTTGGGCAGTCTCGGGGCCGTCTTGAAGGCCTCTTGAGCCGTCTTGGAACGGTCTTGGGGGCCTCCTGGGCGGCCGTGAAGCGTCGGACAGCCGAAAAAGCGAGTAGGCCAGAAAAACTTAAAAAAAACAATGAAAATCAACGATCGTGGCTTCTGCGGCCCCTCTTGGAGGTGCACTTCGAGCGCTCTGGGGGCCTCGTGGAGGCGTCTCGGGCCGTCTTGAAGGCGTCTTGAAGCCATCTTAAGCGTCTCGGATACACTCTTGGACCGTCTTGGGCCGTCTTCGGGGCCTCCTGAGGCCGTCTTGGGGCGATCTGGGAATCCTGGATCAGTCCGCGAGCGGTCCGTTGGCCTCCCGGGCCCGTCGGGCAGCGGCCCGGCCCGGAGGCTCTCCGGGCGGCCCGCGAGCTCTCTGGGCGGCCCGGGGCGCTGCCACTGCTTGTACTTCTCGCGCGCGCTTCGCCCGGAATTGTAGTACAGACTAGTGTTTACCCGTGCTTGCTGCCACTGGCGGAGATGGCCCAAAATGGACCCACATTGCGAAGAAAACCTGCCCCATCATGATAGGGCAGGGCCGAGACCCGCCAACATACCCCATGAAGCCCCAAAGATGGCCCGACATGATCACCGATAGGAGCCGGAGACGGCCCAAAGTTGACCGGAATAGCGTCGAAAACCTGCCCTGTCATGACAGGGCAGGGCCGAGACCCGCCAAGAGACCTCTGGGGCCTGTTTCAAAAACATCCCGAAGCTGTGAACCCCCCCGAGGCGAGGCGGTTCTGGGCCACCAGAAGAGCGAAACATGGCATGGCCTGAGGAGGCCGACAACAAGGGCGAGACATTTTGGGCCAAATCTGGCAGTGAGCGCCGAACAAGCATCAAAACCCCATGGTGCGCTGGGAGCCATTTAGGGACAGTCTGTGGCCGTCTTAGACCGTCTTGGGCTGCTGTTGGTGCCGTCTTCGGTGCTTCTTGGGCCGTGATCTTGGGGCCTCTGGGGGTCGTTTGGAAGTCTCTCAGCGCTTCTTTTCGCCGTCCTGGAAGCCTCCTGGGGCCCTCTGGGGCTGTAACGGGTGCCCCTTGGGCCGTGTGGAGGCGGTCCAGGGCCGTCTGGGGGTTGTCTGGGGCCGTCTTGGGCGTCTTTGGAGCAGTCTGGGCACCGCCTGGGGGTCGTGTTGGGTCGTCCTGGGCTGCTCTTGAGGCTGTCTTGGGTACCCCGTGGGCCGCCAGAGGCGCCTCCGGAGCCGTCCTGCGGCCATCTTGGGAACTTCCCTGGCAACCTTGGACGCTATGACGCGGGCAAGCCCGGGAACTGCGAAAACGCACTACTTCGCAAAAACGAATGGGACGATTGTTCGGTGTGCGGGCTCTCTTGGGGCTCGTCGTGGAGCCCCCTTGGAGCGTTTGGGAGGCCTCTTGGGCTGTCTTGGGCCGTCTGGGCGCCCTCTTGGGGGTCTCCTCGTGCGTCTCGGAACGCTCTCGTCTTCGCTTCGGGCCCTCTTGGGGGCCTCCGGGGGGCTCCGAGCGCCTGCCCGCAGCGGGCCCGAGGCGGGCCGATGCCACCGGGCTCTTTTTTTGCACGCGCTGATTCGGGTACTGTAGTATAGATGACGTTGGGCTTCAGCTTCGTCTTCTTTATCTCGCTCAGCAGCGCCAGGGCCCGCTGCCACTGCTCGCTCTTCTCGCACGCACTGATCCCCGCATTATAGCTGATGACGTCGGGCTCCAGCTTCGCCTCCCGCATCTCGCTCAGCAGCGCCAGGGCCCGCTGCCACTGCTCGCCCTTCTCGCACGCGCTGATCCCAGCGCTGTAGCTGACTAATGTCTACCCGTGGCCTGTCAGCCACGAAATGTGTTCGAGTTGGCACGTTGGGCCAGGGCAGCCTCCTCCTCCTCCTCCTCCGAGATGTTGCCGAAAGGCGTCCGTGATGACGTTGGGCCCGAGCTTCGTCTCTGCTATTGCCGACTGCAGCTGCAGAGTGCTGTGTGCGTGCGTGCGGCATGCTGCTGCTGCTGCACACGTTTGCTGCATGCCGCCGCTGCTTGCTGCGGACTGCTGCTGTTCACCGTTGTATCTTGAGGCTGTAAAGTGTTGCTTCGTGGTGCCCTTCCTAGCGGACTGACGCAACCTGGAGAGAGAGAGAGAGAGAGAGAGTGAGAGGCATGGAGGGATGAGGGAGGGCAAGAGAAAAGGGGTGGTGAGGCAGATGCCAGTAGCCAAGAGGTAGAAGCGAGGGTCCAGGAGAGAGGTGGGAGGAGAGAGGACTGACAAGAGAGGAGTCATGAGCGATGAGAGACAGAGAGGGGCGAGAAGCGAGGAGAGAGCGGCGAGGAGCGAGGAGCGTGGAGCGAGAAGAGTTGAGCGAGAATGGAGGCATGAAAAGAGGCCAGCACACGAATGTCTGAATGGTCTAGGCGCGCGTGTGGCCGAACATCATGTCTCCCGTTGGGTCGCTCATGGGGCTCTCTTTGGTGGGCCCCGGAGCTCTCTGAGGAATGTGTCCTCGGAAGCCTCTTGGAGGCGGTGTTGGGATGTCTTGGGGCCTCTTGGGGGCCTTTTGGGTCGTCTTGGCTCTTGTCGTCTTTGGTCCCTGCCCTGGCCCTGCGGGCGCGTTCAGGCTTGTCGAGATCCGCAAGGACCCTGAAATGAGAGGGCTCGTGTCCATGGTTCCTCCTCTGTTCCACAACAGAGCCGAGCCGCCAGAACTGTACCATCGCGGCTTGCCCCACCATCTTGCCAGTGCGCCTCTGACGTCTACGGCGTTTTTGTTGGGGTCTCTCTCTCTCTCTCTCTCTCTCTCTCTCTCTTTCTCTTATAGCATCTGGCCCAGCCCGCGATAGATATACTCATACAACGAGCCGCGGCCTGACTCTCTCTCTCTCTCTCTCTCTCCCTTTCTTATAGCACCTGGCCCAGCCCGCGATAGCTATACTCATGCAACGAACCGCGGCCTGAAAGATCCAGCAACTCGTGCCTACGTGGCCCCCAGAGCCGCCCTGGGCACGGCAGAGCGGCCGCCGCGCTTCCTCCCCTCCCTGCCCTACCTGTCGCCCTCGTCTTGGTCGTCGGTCGTTTCCTCGCCTTGCCTCTGGGCTCCTTCGCGATGGCCTACAGCAGGAGCTCGACCATAAGACACCTTCCGTCAGAAACCCAACCCTGAGACCCCAGGGCGTCCATTGACTTTTGATGTGGGAACGTCACGCTTTCCATCGCAAAACCATCGACACCCAACAAACCCGGGGCACTCTGGAAGCAAGCAGGGTGTCGATTGGCATGTGAGCGATGCATCAGCGATGCAGCGCCGATGCACTGGCGACGTCGGCGGCGCGCCGGCGACGTCGGCACGGGGAAATCATGAGAAATTCGGGCTCCACACGGAGCCGCATCGCCGCTGCATCGGCGATGCGGCGCGGTCCTCCGACCCCATCTGCTCCGACCCCATCTGGGAGGCCTGTGGAGGGGACGAGGGGCGCGAGGACGACGCCGAGGGCGGGGATGCAGGGCGGGAAGCCAGGACGGGGGGCGCGAGGCGAGCGAGGGCCAGGGAGGAGGAGGAGGAGGGGGAGGAGGAGGAGGAGGAGGAGGAGGAGGAGGAAAAGGAGGAGGAGGAGGAGGAGGAGGAGGAGGAGAGGAGGAGGAGGAGGAGGAGGAGGAGGAGGAGGAGGAGGAGGAGGAGGAGGAGGCTTGGACTCTCCCTCCTCGCAGCTGGCCCCGGGGCGGGCCCCGGGAGCCCCGCGGGCCGCGGCCGGCGGCCCGGGGCGGCCCCCTGGGCCGCCTGCCCCCTCGCCCCCGCGCGGGCGCCCCCGATGGGGCGCTTCCTGCGGAGGCTGCTCCCCCGCAGTTGGAAATCACGACGATCGATCTTCTCGGGCACTTGTTAGAAACTGCGTCCTT